GGTTTTGATTTGAATTTCCCTGATACTTTGTAACGTTGAAGACCGTCTCAACACCTTTTTGTGTACCTGTTGGCCACTTGTATCTCTTCTTTGAAAAATGTCTATTCGGGTCATTTGCCCATTTTAAAATCAGATTATTTATTTCTTGCTATTGAGCCATATGAGTTCCTTATATACTTTGGATATGAATCCCTTGTCGTGTGTACGGTTTGCAAATGCTTTCTCCCATTCTGTAGGCTGCTTTTTCATTTTGTTGATTGGTTTCTTTGCTGTGCAGAGCTTTTCAGTTTGATGTGGTCCCACTGTTTATTTCTGCTTTTGTAGCATGTGCTTTTTGTGTCGCATCCAAAAAAAAGCATTGCCAAGACAAATGTCATGGAGCTTTATGCCTATGCTCCAAAGCTTCCAGTAGTTTAACAGCTTTAGATCTTACATTTAAGTCTTAAATCCATTTCAAGTTAATTTCTTTCAGTGGCCTAAGATCGGGGTCCAAGTTCACTCTTCTGCATGTAGATATCCAATCTTCCTAACGCCACTTATTAAAAAGACGGTCATTTCCTCACTGTGCAATTCTGACACCCTTGTCAAATATTACTCCATTCATATGTGTAGGTTTATTTCTTTTTTTATGTAAAACATTTTTATTTTATCATGGAACTCTTTTGGGCACCATTATTTCCATTAGCATAGGGGTAGCTTCTGTTAATATTCTATAGCGAGGCAATAAATGCCCCATCAAGTGGAAATTCTCTAGTTCAGTGGTTGTTATTGAAAAGTACTCACGGTCTTTTGCCATCAGCCTCGATAAATGCACCATACAAAGGGCTTTGCAGTGGAGGGTACCTTGAGACCAGCACAGTAGCTTCAACCCTATACTTCGTGGGCTTAGGTGATTTTACTAGTTTCCATTTATCATGTTTAATTAACATTTCCTAAAAGAGCAGGTTTACATTCCTTCAGTTTCATAGTACTAGAAAGGGGAAACATCCCAGTTAGATGCAGTACCCATTTTAATAAGACATTTTGGTAAAGGACTTCAACTACCTTACATAAAGTTTGTGTAAACATCTTGAATTTTATCAACCTATTAATCTGTATGCTTTTATGCTCTGGTCCCAGGCTTTTTCTACTCCCAGACCATTTTACCTTTTGTGTTGAAAAAGGGCTTGGGTTCCCAGCAGGGAGTTGCATCTGTAAGACATATGATGGACAGCAAATTTGATAAGGTTTCTTAATCAGTCCTCTGATTCTGTGGGAGGGGCACCCATGTAAAAGGGTCCACTTAGCTCCCAGATTTACCATGACCGGGGTAATGGGTGTATTTGGTGGGAGGACAGCCCTGTCATCATAAAGCCAGTCCAATATGGCTTGCATATGAAGCATATTAACTGCTTCATTTGGGGTGCTCACTGGCTATTTTATAGGGAGCTTTGGGCAGTCCTCTTCTCAGGGCAAACAGACCTTCCAGCGGCGCTTATCCGGGTTACTAGGCTGCTGTTTCTTTTAGGAATAACCTCATGTGCATTTGGATTACATTTACTTGATAGTGATTAGTAGTGAGCTATGACTCTTACACCAACCCAAACAAGGTCTTAAATTCTGTAGCGTTTACATTTAATAATTTTGTCCTTAAAGTGGTTATTTTACAATTCACTAAAGATTTTTTAAGAAGCTGATGATACCAATCTATGAAATGAAATAATTCCCTTACATTTTATACTCTGCTTTTTAATGGTTACTTGGTTTTACCCTTCCCCCATATTGACTTTTTTTTTTTTTTTTTTGTAATCACAGAGTTCAGAGTTAACTTTTGTTGGCTTGGCATAATTGTTCCTATTGTTTAGTTTTATTTGTGTAATTTTTCCTTCATTTTAAAGCAAACAGTTTTTAACTAGAAAAAAACTATTTTCCTTTTTTAAAGCAAAATCACCATCTTTGTGCTTTATAAACTTTACCAAAAACGTATTTTATGTTCCCATTATTTTAACCTTTTTTTTTTTTTTGAGACGGAGTCTTGCTCTGTCGCCAGGCTGGAGTGCAATGGAGTGATCTCGGCTTATTGCAACCTCCACCTCCCGGGTTCAAGCAATTCTCCTGCCTCAGCCTCTTACATAGCTGGGACTACAGGTGCGTGCCACCACGCCCAGCTAATTTTTGTATTTTTTAGCAAAGACGGGGTTTCAGTATGTTGGCCAGGATGTTCTCCACCCATCTCTTGACCTCGTGATCCGCCCGCGTTGGCCTCCCAAAGTGCTGGGATTACAGGTGTGAGCCACTGTATCCAGCCTGCTATTTTAACTTTAACAATCCAAATTTCCAGTGAAAATAAAAACCAAGTGTTTAACATGACTTTAAGAGTTTTAATTACTGGATAGAGTTTTCGGATTAAATTTGCCAAATTAACTTTATCACAGATTACCAAAATTATGGGAATTAAATGACATCTGAGCTAACTTTCACCAGTCCAATGGGCACTTAATTTTTAAAAGTTACTTGATTAGAACTCTTTCATGCAGTTTGGAAGTGAAGTATCACTTCCACATGACTCATATGAATATATATAAATAGATATGCTATATAAATACAATAAGTATGCAAAGGGTGTATATATATAGAGAGAGAAAGAGAGACAGAGTCTGGCTCTGCTGCCCAGGCTGGAGTGCAGTGGCATGATCTCAGCTCACTGCAACCTCTGCCTCCCAGGTTCAAGTGATTCTCCTGCCTCAGACTCCTGGGTAGCTGGAATAACAGGTGCGTGCCACCATGCCTGGGCTAATTTTTTTTGTATTTTTAGTAGAGATGAGGTTTCACCATGTTGGCCAGATTGGTTTCAAACTCCTGACCTCAAATGACTCGCCTGTGTCGGCCTCCCAAAGTGCTAGGATTACAGGCATGAGCCACTGTGCCTGGCTCCGCAGGATATTTTATTTGCTTGTTAAAAAAAATTTCGTTTCCTACTTTAGATGATAAAAGTTACAGGAGCCAACAAAAGGTGAAGGAGAGAGCTATTATCCAAGCCCCTGTCAAAGAAAAAAGCTGTGCTTTTGAGATATCAATCTGAAGAATGTCAAAGAGACTGGTCATACAATTTAAAAATTTAAAACTTCTTGCATAAAAATAAGTCAATATTTGTAATAAAATCTTGTCTTAACTAATTATTTAGTTCTATATTAGTGTATTATTTTAATATCAAAGACCCATCTCTAGGAAAAACTATTATAATTTCTTCTTAATCATAGCCAACTGAATTATACAACTCCCTTTTTAAAAAACAATTTCTTTTGGTAGGGCGAGGTGGCTTATGCCTGTAATCCCAGCACTTTGGAAGGCTGAGGCAGGTGGATCACAAGGTCAAGAGTTCAAGACCAGTCTGGCCAACATAGTGAAACCTTGTCTCTATTAAAAATACAAAAATTAGCCGAGTGTGGTGACACACACCTACAGTCCCAGCTACTTGGGAGGCTGAGGCAGGAGAATCGCTTGAACCTGGGAGGTGGAGGCTGCAGTGAGCTGAGACCACACCATTGCACTCTAGCCTGAGCTACGGGGTGAGACTCTGTCTCAAAAAAAAAATTATTTTTACTTAACTTATTACAACTTACATAGAGCACTCACTACAGGCTTAGGCTTTCTGTTTTGTCCTAAATATTCCTCTTTCTTGAACAACACAGTCATTATATTTTAGCACAAAAATTCATATGTGAGTTTATTTCTGAGCTCTATGATTTGTCCATTGTTCTAATGTCTGTTTTTATGTTACTATCATACTGTTTTAATTACTTTAGCTTTGTAATATAGTCGAAATCAGGTTGTCTTCAGCTTTGTTCTTTCTCAAGATTGCTTTGGCTATTTGTGGTCTTTTATAAAATCTATTCGCATTTAGGATTATGTATTCTATTTCTGTGAAAAATGCCATTGAACTTTTGATACGAATTGCCCTGAGTCTATATATTGCTTTGGGTAGAATGCACATTTTAACAACATTAATTTTCCTGATTTATGATTACGGGTTTTTATCTATTTATTTATTTATTTGTTTGTGTGTTCAATTTATCTCATTAATATTTTATAGTTTTTGGTATGCGGATCTTTCACATTCTTGGTTAAATTCATCTTAAATATTTTATTCTTTTTGATGTTGTTGTAAATAGGATTGTTTGTTGTTAGTGTATAAAAACACAACTCATTTTTGTATGTTGAATTTGCATTTTGAAGCTTTACTGAATTTATTGGTTCTGACTTTTTTTTGAGGAGTCTTTAGGGTTTCTAAATATAAGGTCATGTCATCTGTAAACAGAGTCAATTTTGTGTCCTTCTTTCTGATTTGGATTTTTTTTTTTTTTTTTTTGAGACGGAGTTTCGCTCTTGTTACCCAGGCTGGAGTGCAATGGCGCGATCTCGGCTCACCGCAACCTCCGCCTCCTGGGTTCAGGCAATTCTCCTGCCCCAGCCTCCTGAGTAGCTGGGATTACAGGCACGCACCACCATGCCCAGCTAATGTTTTGTATTTTTAGTAGAGATGGGGTTTCACCATGTTGACCAGGATGGTCTCGATCTCTTGACCTCGTGATCCACCCGCCTCGGCCTCCCAAAGTGCTGAGATTACAGGCTTGAGCCACTGCGCCTGGCCTGATTTGGATTTTTAAAATTTCTTTTTCTTGCCTAATTGCTCTGGCTAGGACTTCTGGTACTATGTTGAACAGAAGTAGTGAGAGTGAGCACCCTTGCCTTGTTCCTGTAAATAATTTTTAAAATTGTGGATTGACATAAAAATTGGCTGGTGCTACCTACAGCCATAACTTCAGTTATAATGTCAACATATTTCCATTTATTAATTCAAAAACAAGTATTGAGTACCTATTATGTGCCAGACCTGGATATCAACAGCGTATAGGACACAGTGGTAAATAACAGAGAAAGATCAAGTATTCACATACCAGACTTTCCGTTTTAGCATACAGGATGGAACAAGAACTGGCTCCCCCTTTGTTGCAACTTACGTTTATGTGTCCATGCTGGATAAGTCTTGCAGAAAGTTTGATGAACACTGTCAGGGATGTACAGAGCAGGGCAAAGCTCAGGCACAGATCGAGGGCTTGAAGTGTTAGGTGGTACTCTTCATAGTGTGGTGGGTCCACACAGGCTAATGGGAATTTTGCATACTGATAAGGAAAAGCGACTGCATAGCCAAGGTAATTAGTGCCTGCAATCCCTGAAAATGAATAGAAGCAATATGGGCCCAGGAGAGCAGATTCCAAGGCTACCACAAAGTGAAGTGGACATCCCATAATGCTCAAAATCACGAAGGTGAAAGTAGCTTCCCACTGAAAATAAACCAAAAATAAATTGTTACTTCAGGGACAAGCTATTTCGAAAGGTTCTTAGCAATATGAGGAAAATGAAAAAAGAGATGCTGGCTATGAATTTCTCCTATTGGACAATGAAGGAGAAATGGGTCACGATCCTCTCTTTATATTTTCATTTTCCCTTGAAAATGTCCCTTGTATTTTTATTTTTTTTTCACTTTTTATTTGACGTTCCAGGGTACTTGTGCAGGATGTGCAGGTTTGTCATTTAGGTGAAGGTATGCCATGGCAATGTGCTGCCCAGATCAACCTATCACCTTGGTATTAACCCAGCATCCATTAGCTAATCTTCCTGATGCTCCCCTCCCCCCACCCTTCATTTTTAATCTATACCTAAGGAGAATAATATACTAGCCAACCAGGGAAAACATTAAATTAGTTCAATTCAACAAGCATTTATTTATGCATTTCCCATCACGTGAATGCAACTGGTCTGGGCTGGGAAAAACAAAGACAAGTGAACAAAATCGCTACTCAAGGTTCTCAGCTACTCAGGGTGTGGTCCATGGTCCAGCATCACTGACATCCCCTGGGAGCCTGGCAGACATGCAGAATCTCAGGCCTCACCCAGATCTGCTGAATCAGAATCTGCAGGTTAACCAGATCTCCAGCTGATTTACATATACATTAAAGTTTGAGAAGCCCTGCATCAGCGGGAATTAAAATCTATCATCAGATACCATGGTCTTTCTCTTTCATAAGATGATCTGGTTTTATGCTGTCAAAATGCAAGATAGCGTAGACTTTTCATCCTTTTTTAGGAGAGGTAGCAAGAAGATTGGAAGGAGATCTCAGATTAAGGAGTTGAGACTTAAAAAATATATTACTGAAAGTATTCTTCAAAATGAAATTTAGGAGCACTCACACTGGCTCTGTCCTCCCCAAATACAATAATCATCACAAGAACTTGTAGAAAATATTTGGAGGAGGGATCAGATAAAGATTATTCATGGCCGGGTGTGGTGGCTCACACCTGTAATCCCAGCACTTCAGGAGGCCAAGGTGGGTGGATCACCTGAGGTCAGAAGTTTGAGACCAGTCTGACCAACATGGCGAATCCCCATCTCTACTAGAAATACAAACATTAGCTGGGCATGGTGGCACGCACCTGTAGTCCCAGCTACGCAGGAGGCTGAGGCAAGAGAATTGCTTGAACCTGGGAGGTGGAGGTTGCTGTGAGCTGAGATCATGCCGCTGCACTCCAGCTTGGGCGACAGAGCAAACTCTTGTCTCAAAAAAAAAAAAATTATTCATTTAAAACATAGTTTATTACTGAAATCCATTGTAGTAAGGCGTCAATTAGACCAAATTCAATTCTAATTGGAAATCATATTTTTTATGTTCCATGCTGCACTTAACAGTGATTTGACCTTCAAAGCCACTCTCCCATCCTGCTTGCCATCTGTATATTTACCAGGTGTCTCTGGGTCCACGCTCTGTAAGCCAGCAGTAGGAGCACACCAGTTGTGATGGCCTGTGACAAGAAAATGGAAAAATAACATCCATCACAGAAGGTACCTCTGGAAAGAGTTCAATCTGTCTCACAGTTTGACAACTTTATCATGAACTTGAAGGAACAGCAAATGACTCAGTGGATTTATGGCTCTGATTTCCTCCTCATCAGTGGGAAAAAACTGTGATGACGGGGAAAGTAAGCCATTAGTGTCATAAAGACATGATTCACACAAGCTCATTTTTCTGATTCTCTGTGTTGCTTTTGCCATCAGAATCATCCGTTCCACTACTTTAAGGTGTCACTACAATAATAGCTTGGCTTTATAACCCTTGCATATGTTTTATTTTGATTAATCGTCTATTGTTCACCTTTCTGACAAACTGATGAAACTGTAAATGGAAGGAACCAGAATGGGAACTTGTCATGAAACCCGGAAGTGGCTTTCTCTTTTGCTCTTTGCTTTCTTTTGAGATTCTGCAGCCTCGGCCTGCTGGTAGGATACAAATACACGATCCTTATTCCTCAAATAACAAAGATTATCATTAGAATGCATGATGGGGCATTTATTCTTTCTTTCTTCTTCTTTCTTTGTTTTTTTTTTTTTTTTTTGAGATGGAGTCTTGCTCTGTCACCCAGGCTGGAGTGCAGTGGCGTGATCTCAGCTCACTGCAACTTCTGCCTTCCGGGTTCAAGCGATTCTCCTGTCTCAGCCTCCTGAGTAGCTGGGATTATGGGTGCATGCCACCAAGCCAGGCTAATTTTTATATTTTTAGTAAAGACACGGTTTCACCATGTTGGCCAGGCTGGTCTCGAACTCCTGACCTTGTGATCTGCCCACCTTGGCCTTCAGAAGTGCTGGGATTACAGGTGTGAGCCACTGCGCCCTGCCTCAAAAGAGTTTTTCTTTACAGTCTCTGTTGAAGAAAAAAGGCCCAAAGTGCAGAATGAAAGTAGTTAAACAAAAGAGGGAATGGTGTCTCCAAAATTTAGAAGTAGGTAATGAAAAAAAATATTTCTTGGCTCTTTGATTCAGCACCAGGTCTGATGGAGGAGACCTTTGTGGTCACTGAGATTGGAAATAGCTTATTCTCAATCCTCATAAATCATTTGTTCTTGGTTAATGACTCTTTTGATGTTGAGAGAGAAAGAGGAAGAGAGATGCCTAAAATAAGATATAGAATATGGACAGCTCCAAAAATAGTACAAGTTAGGGTTTGACAGAGAAATAAGCGTGACTGTATGTATACAATCAGCAAAGTTAAAGAGGAAAACAAATCAGCATTTTTACCAACATGGTTTGTGGTATGCTGCTTTTGTAGCAGCTGGATCGGGCATATTTATTGTTTTGAGACTTAGCTTTTCATTTTCCTGGCATATTTTATTTTGAACGTTGCATTTAGAGAATTTGAGAGAGAGGGAAACACACACACAGACACACATACACACACACACACACACACACACACAAACACACACACACTTCTCATGTGGCTGAGCCTACAATTCCAGACTTGGCATCGCCATACCATAAAACTCCCATGGATAAAAACAGAACCATCTGCAGTCAAAAGAGATTCCTGGCGTGATTCTGCAAGAGGAAAGTTTCCAAGGGACCCTATGGAGGGTGAGCCAGCATAAATAGTACAAGAAAACAAAAGAATTATTAAGAGCAACTGTAACATCGGTGCTGTGGAGTAAGCCTGGGGCTTTCTCTGCTCAGGGAGGCATGGCCCTCAATTGACACATCGCTCCTCTGTCTGAGAGAGAAACACTGAAGCCAGATAAGCAAGGGCGTCAGGCTCACGCCCCTCTGCTGCTTTAACTCGGAGTAGATAGCTGTCATTCTCAGATGCTGAGATTCCAGGTTGCCTTAACTACCTTGGCATGAGCTGTTTCTTTCCTTTCAAAAAGTTGAAAAATGCTGCAGAATTTCAGTTGCCTGTTATTTTTGTAGCTGCCAGCTTGAATTTTGCTTTGTTTACATAAAACTTTGAGAAGGATCTTTCATGGAGTAGGCTGAGTATGAATGCCTCTTATAGTAAGATTGATAAATCTACTCTGCTAATGGAATGGCAGCTCAAGAGGTTAGCGTATCCATCTTTATTGGTGCTCCTCACCAAACATGGGAGATAGAATAGCGTTATTTTTCCTGAGATGCACAGATGTCTTTTCTTTCCTCCATTTCTTTTTGAAAATTTTATTTTTCGGCCAGGCGCAGTGGCTCACGCCTATAATCCCGGCACTTTGGGAGGCCGAGGCGGGTGGATCACAAGGTCAAGAGATCGAGACCATCCTGGTCAACAAGGTGAAACTCTGTCTCTATCAAAAATACAAAAATTAGCTGGGCATGGTGGCACGTGCCTGTAGTCCCAGCTACTCGGGAGGCTGAGGCAGGAGAATTGCCTGAGCCCAGGAGGCGGAGGCTGCGGTGAGCCGAGATCGCGCCACTGCACTCCAGCCTGGGTAACAAGAGTGTAACTCTGTCTCAAAAAAAAAAAAAAAAAAAAAAAAAAAAAATTTTATTTTTAGATAGGGAGGAGAGAAGAATGAAGAAGGAAGAGATTTGAGAGTAGGTAGGACAAGTCAAGGGGAAGAGAAAATGTGGGAGAGGGGGTGTCGGAAGGGGGAATAGCTGGCTGACAGGGAGGCCAGGTTGTGAGGAAGGGGAGAGCGGAGGCTGTGTCTGTTGGTGAGCGGGGAAGGAAGAGAACGCCCGCATGCTGCACTCGCCTTCCTCAGCTCTGCTTGACAGGCTGCTGCCTGGCTCTCCAGGCGCTTCCAGGGCTGTGAGTTGGGTTTTGCAACAGCTGCTGCCAACAGTTTGATTGCATGATTGTGAGGCCTCCCACTAAGTCTTCAAATTGCCTAAGTAGAGGACATAGCTCTCAGAAGTAGATGAGTTGAAGGAAACAGGGAGCCCCCACAACAGAAATAGAAACCTTTAGAGGTACCGTATTCATATGGGAAAATTTATTCACTGCAAGCATCTGTTACGAGTCCACTACAGACAAGTGATGTGCCAGGTCCTGTGCTGATAAGGTAATAATAATGGTTAACATGTATTGAGTGAGTGCTTAATATATATTGAACACTTCACATGTGTTCACTCATCTCATCCTCACAATGACCTTGTCATGTAGATATTCTCCCACTTTTAAAATGAGGCACAGAAAGACCAAATAAGATGAACAAGATTCCCCAGTAGTAATTGTACAAATAGTGGTTCTGACTGTCAGTGGGATTTACGGTTCAGGTGTAAAACTAATGGCCACGTGAGAATGGCTACAACCCTAGGCAAGAAGGATGAATGTTTCCTACACGAGGAGAGCTCAGGGGTAAGGTATCACTTACAGGGGAAACATCAGTGATGAAGGCGCCATGGAGAAAGAGGATCTGGAGTGGGTTTAAGGATGGATGTGCGTTCAATGGGAGGTACCAGAGGGAGGGCAGCTCAGGCCGTGGGAGCAGCGTGTGCAAAGGTGGGGAAGTGGCTGTCATGCTTAGGGAGCAGTGAGCGCAGAGTCCGGACTGAAGGGAGGGTCAGTTCTTGGCAGGGAGGAGTAGAAAATCGCAGTGGAAAGCCAGGCGATACCAGGGTAAGGAAGGCTGCACAATGCAGGCTAGCATGTCTGGACTTTGTTTAGGGACAATGAAGCAATACTAACTAAAGCCTTTTGAAGAAACTGTGGCCTGACTACTGAAGAGGTTTAGAAAGATGAGCCAGTTGTGTGCATACGAGGTTGGAATATAGACCTAGAAGTAACTGTAGAATGCTGGTTTTTAGATTTGTTTTTTCAGCTCTAGCCGCGGTAACTAATACATTTCACATCATGGTTATAAATATTTTTATATCTGATCAAATAATATGTAACTCTCATTATGTGTGATGCATTCTAATATTCTATTCTATTCATTGTAAATGTTGCTAGCTACTCAATAGATTGATTTTATAATTCACTAATGGATAGATTCCCACAGTTTGGCTCTCAAAGCTATCCAGGCATAAAATTGAGCAGGGGTGGGAAGTGGTAAGGGGTGGGAGGATATACAGTGAGACAGAAAAGGAAGGAATGCAGCCAAGGGATATGTCTTGCAGGAAAAATTAAGGTTACATGGCAACTGATGGTCATGGGGCTGGATTGGGCTGCTTTGGAGCATTGCTGCCCCCAGTGTGGTCCTAGGGCCAGCAGCATGGGCATCCTCCGGGAGCTGGTTAGATATGCAGACTCTCAGGCCCTGCCCCAGACCTGCTGAATTAGAACCTGCCTTCATCAAGATCACCTGATGATTCGTATGCACGCTACAGTTTGAGAAGAGCTAGTTTAGAGGAACAGGTTGAGTCAGAATCACTCCAGGATTTGAAATTGAGTTGCCAAGACAATGATAGGGAAGTTGGAGAAGAAAAAAATGGTTTGGGTGACAAGATGATTAATTTGGTTTTAGACAAGCTGGTCTTAAGGAAGCTTAGGATATCTAAGTGGAAAAATGGGCCACTGACAAATTCTTTGCTTGATCAAACTTGAGTCAGGCTCCTGAACCTTCTCCTGTAGGCCCATCTGTGTATGTTCTTGTAAAACCCACTTTGAGCACAAGAACTCTGATGAGTCAGTTTAGCGAGAACTCCCTTACCCTCAATACCTGATCACGCTCTATAGCTAGTCAGGTTTCTCCTCCTCCCCGATCCCTGAAGTGATGTCTGACCACCCCAGCCTGTCTTCAGCAGGAAGACTGCTAGGTCGGGATAGCCAGAATCCCCCTTGCCCCTGATATTTCCTTAGTAATTTTTCAGCCACTGACCTTCACCCTGCTTCTCGGCTATAAATCCCCATTTGCTCACGCCGTATTTGGAACCAAACCTTGTTCTATACTGATGTCTCTTTTTCCCCATTGCAATAATCCTGCATAAAATCTGTTTGTTTTAGCTAACTGTCCAGCTCTGGTTTTAATTTGACACCGTCAGGCAGTTGGAAGTCATGTGACTCTGAAGCTGTAAGAGACTTGCAAGGTCATGTAATCAAGCCCCTTCTGTAACCATTGGGGAAACTGGGGCCTGCATAACGAAGTCTAGCCTGATCTTTCTCCCAAATTCCCTTCTCTAAGCAGGGCTCTGGGTGCAGCGCTGTGCTTGCCGTTGGCCAAGTCACTGGGATCTCCAGCACCTCAGGACCTGTGTTTAAACTCATTGTGCTTCAGTCTTTTCATCAGAAGTGATCTACAAGCCATGTTTTCCAGGATTAACAGAGCTTAATCCTTAAGGTACTACGTTCTCCTCACCGAATACTTTCTAGCAGCTGATGCTTTTAAATAACCTAGCTCCAAAATTCCAGGAAAACTGCTTGTCACATAAATGTCAAAAGGGAGCTAGGGAGTCCGAGGACCAATCTTTATGAAGTACTTAAAAAGCCTCGAATGAAAGGCTTTGAAAAATTCAAAGTACTGTATCATATGCAAAAATCTGTCTCTTACAATTCTCCAAAGAAATATGAAGTCATCTACAAAAGGAAATGTCAATATGATTGAAATGTACAAATCTTGTCATTGGATGAAGATATACTTTGAAGGCAAGTTAAGGTGTGATTGGTGGCCAGGCGTGGTGGCTCAAGTCTGTAATCCCAGCACTTTGGGAGGCCGAGGTGGGCCGATCACCTGAGGTTAGGAGTTCGAGACCAGCCTGACCAACATGAAGAAACTGTGTCTCTACTAAAAATCAAAATTAGCCAGGTATGTTGGTGCATGCCTGTAATCCCAGCCACTCAGGAGGCTGAGGCAGGAGAACTGCTTGAACCCAGGAGGCGGAGGTTGCGGTGAGCCGAGATTGCGCCATTGCACTCCAGCCTGGGCAACAAGAGCAAAACTCCATCTCAAAAAAAAAAGAAGTGGTTGGTAAGGGAGGTTGTGGAATGAGTCAGAGTCCATTTGAAGTTCACCCTGATCAGACAGAACTGTGGTTCAGTAGGAAACTCACCAGGAAAAAAAATAAATAAATAACGTTGGTCCAAATTTAGACACTATTGAAAGACTGAGCATTTGTATTACTTTCCTTCCCATGAGAATTTTTTCCTGCATTAGTATAATGTAAACACCGCCCTGACCTTTAGTCCTTGCAACCTAATTGGTATTCAACTGTATAAGAAATTCTGCACCAACGGAATGGAGGGCATGAGATTCATTCAGTCATTCAACAATCCTTAATGAGCAATATTTATTGAACACATACTATGTCATTCTCTCTGTTCCAAGTTCTTCAGGTACAGCAGTATACATAATAGAAAAAACAATACCTGCCCTTGGGCAATATACATTTGTTGGAGGAGAGGGGAATACACATAGAAGACATTATATAATTTTTAAATTTATTGAACCAAACAATAAATTTAAAAATTATGTAATGTCTTATATGTTAATAAGTATTATAGGAAAAAATAGAGCAGGGTATCAGAGATTGGGGATGCCAGTTGGGAGTCAGGTATTACAATTTTAAACAGTGTAATGGGAGCAGACCCCCGTAAAAAAGTGACATTTATAAAGAATTGATCAAGAATTGAAGGAGGCTAGGGAGTGAGCTGAGTTCAGGAAGAGGCTTTAGGCAGAGGGCAGGTAGTGCAAAGGCCCTGAGGCAGAAACACATCATGGCATGTTTGAAAACAGCAAGGAGCTGATGTGATGGGAGAGAAGTGAGCTAAGGGAAGAGTGGTGGGAGATGGAAGTCCAGGAGGTAACGGGCTGGGGAACTCAGCAGGTCATGAGGGAATAGGACAGGAAAGTGAGGCAGGAGACACAGGGTTAAGAACAAAGGGCTTGAACAGAGATTAGGGCACACATGAAAGGCATGGTATTCACTAGCATTTGAGGAGGGCTTTAAAATTGGCGAAGCTCTTTATTATACAATCATTGTTTAAATTGTGTTCATTCTCGCTGTGCATCTTAGCGTTAGACAGTTTTACATGTCTGCTCTTTTTGTCTATAATATTTCCCATTTTACAGTTAAAGGCAATGAGGAACTGGCTGGTTGAGGGTCCTGCTTTTGACCTCCTCCCAAGAACATCAAAGTCAGGACTTGAAACAGGTCTGCCTCTCTAAATCCTTTATCTCTGACTCCACTGCCTGATGCTGCCACCCCTGAAATCAAATAGTCACCCATTAGCTATGTGGTGGAGACACCTCACTTCGTTTCTCTGGTCCTAACTGGTAAAAATAGATGTTTGGCCTACAACATGCTTTCATTCAATCATCTGTAATCTTCATTAAAATCATGAATATTTGTTGAATATAGTATGTTAGACTCTCCAAGGATAGGCAAAGAATGTGGACTTGAACTGTAATTGTGATATGGTTAAACTTCATGAAATAGAATTTTTAAAAAATTAAATGAAATAGAAAATATCAGAATATGTTTCACATAGAGGCTAAGCACTGTTTTGAGAAACTTTTGTTTTACAGATACATAAACATCTATTATACGTATATATGCATAATAGATGTAGATATCTATTTATCTAGACAGAAGAAGGTAGATGTATTTATGTACATTCTGGGTCCTCATGTAAAATATTTTTCTGACTCTGAGTCACCAAAACAAGCTTAGAAGCCACTCGAATAAATGTAACTGCCATCTCTGCATTCTAGCAGAACTTTAACAAAGATTTCTTTGAATGAATGCATGGTTTCAGGTAGGTGTTGGAGAAAAGAAGGGAAGATCCAGATTAGGGTGATAGATGCAAAGGAATGTATTGAAAAAGAAAAAAAACTGAGAAAGAAAAACATAGCCCTCTGGTTTCCTCATTCCATCCACTCCCCCGTCATCCCTCCATCTAGCTGCACATACTCATCAAACACCACTAGACCAAGTTCCTTTAAGATCAAGACCTTGTTTGTTCCTTCATTGTAACTCAAGGACATAGTAGGCTATTCATAAATATTTGTCTAATAAGTAGATTAAAACTTATATTTCCTGAGATCTAGCATTTAGGTGATATCCCAGTTAAAGTTTTAATTATTTAAAGATTTAAGATGCTATTTCACAGAAGAGTGGCTATATTTTAATAGAATATGTTTTAAGATCAAAACTTCAAAATTAAATTCTCCAGTCTCCAGTGGTGTCAGGCATCACGGGAATCAATGAGAGAAAGATTTGCTGGACAGGTAGGTCTCTGTAACTTCTCTTAAATTATACAAGCATGGAAGCCAGCTACTCCCAAGGCTAGATGTGCTCATTTCTTTGTCTGGAAAGCTAAGGGACCAGGCCAATTGTTTATCTGTGCAATGATTCAGTGAGCGTACACTGAGCGTACAATGAGCGACCACTTAGTGTCAGACACTGTACATGGCACACGTACTTTCCTAGTGAATTGTGAAGTCCATCACCCCTCTTCTTGAATTATTTTCAGTTCAAACAGTTGCATGCAAAGGGAAAGATAGAAAAGCCAATATCTGGGATTTGTAAATTTTGGGGCCATGTACACACGTCTTAGTGCTTGTAATGAAAACATTAGTTTGAAAGTTATTTTATTTTGTTCTCTATTTTAAAATTATATTTCAAGATTTATGTTTTTTTCTAAATTCAAAACTCAAATTTCAAAAGATAGATTCTAATTTCTTGGCATATCAGATAAGAGGATTAAAATAAAATAACTTTTTAAGAATTTCTTGAGCAGCATGCCATTAAAGATAATACACATGTATACATGATGAAACAATTATTAAGACAATTTTTATACCTAAAATGCAATTAAGAGAAAACAATGTTCCAAGGCAGATTCTGATTTTATGTGGAATTTTGACTTCTTTGTATTGTTAGAACAATTTAAAAGGACATGTTCTTCTGTTTCCCCTTCCTTTATTTTCTCAATATATTTAATAAAATATTTTCATACCAAAGCTCCATTCCAGATGGGACAAGCAATCCGAACACTCCAACCTGCGAACCAAGGCTTGTAAGAAAAGACAGGGAAGAAAGCAGCAACTCCAGAGCATACACTGAGGCTCCCCAGAGTGACAAGAATCCGACCAGCAGCCTGGTAGAGGCCCTTCATTTTCCTTGGTGGCTTGGGGCCTTGGTCTCAAAAGATGTTTTGTTACCAAAACACGACAGTATGACAGGCCTCAGTAAATAGAAGTTTCTTAGAGACAGTAGCCACGAAACATATGAACTGTTGATCTACTTGGAAACAAGATTCTATTTGTTTTACCAAAGGTGAAATGTACTCACATAGTCCTTGGGATAAATTTGACACAATAAATTCCGATAACAATTTATTTAAGAGAAAGAGAGAAAAAAATGATTCCTTGCTTTGGATTGCTGCCTTGGTTCCCTTCATTCTGCCCTGTCCTGGGGAGTGACCACTTCCTGGCTTCATCAGATTCAAAGGCTTGCTGACTGAGCTAATTGTTTCTCAACTCAACCTGCTAGGTTCCAGCATAAAGCCAACATCCTTTGTGTACAATAGATCCACATTCCCAGCACAATTTCCCACAAAACAAAGTAAAAATAAGCACCCTGATCACTTTTCATTATATTTAATTTAAATGATTTCAAGCAAAAGCAAGACGTTTACCTCCTTTCAAAGTTTAATTTCACTACAATTGTTTTTGATAAAGATTTTTGATATGGATTCTTTCCCAAATGGGCATGAACTTTCTTAGGGAATTTTGCATTGTTTTCACTAAACCAGTGTCAACTTATTTTATTATTACTATTTTTTTAAAATAGTCTATATGTTTAATATTTGTCTTTTTTTTTTTAAGGGTAACTTCTTTTTTTATTGCATTTTAGGTTTTGGGGTACATGTGAAGAACATGCAAGATTGTTGCATAGGTACACACATGGCAGTGTGATTTGCTGCCTTCCTCCCATCACCTATATCTGGCTTTCTCCCCTTGCTATCTCTCCCCAATTCCCCACCCCCCGCTGTCCCTCCCTCATTTCCCCCAATAGACCCCAGTGTGTGATGCTCCCCTCCCTGTGTCCATGTGTTCTCACTGTTCAACACCCGCCTATGAGTGAGAACATGCGGTGTTTGATCTTCTGCTCTTGTGTCAGTTTGCTGAGAATGATTATTAATTCAATTTTCAAATAAAGTATGATGATGGGAATGTATGCAGTTGTAAAATAAAATAAAACTTTGAGGAGTAATTTATCAGTTGAATAAAACTCTGATCCCCATTCATTCTTGAATTGCAATTCTGATTTGAGATATTGAACTTAGCTACATTTAGGCAGTTACAAGTCATCTCTTACTTTTCGTGCATTTGAGAAAATGGTGTCATTTGATTTTGACTGACGGGATATATTTGGATGTCTGTTCCAAGGTAATATCTTAAAAACACAGGTTACCTTCTGGAGCTATCTGACTAATTTTTCTATTTAACACTTTTTTCCTTTTTACTGAAATAAAATGATGAAATATAAGTTTATAAATGCAAATATAGTGGTTTAGGACATTGATTTTGAGTCAGATGGAGCTGTGATCCCATTCTGGCTCTACTCTCTACCAGATTTGTGCCCTTGAGTAAGGGCAAGTTACTTTTCTAGGTCTTTTCTTCATCTGAGAAATGGGAATAAAAATTAGTGTTTATCTCATCAGGAATTTGGTTGAGAGGATTCAGTGAGCTAAACCCATAAATGCCTAGCCCAGAGCTTAGCCTACCAAGGATGTTCAGAAAGTTACTGCTGTTAAGTCGGAATATTCCACCTTTGGGGTTCTTGTAGCGTGGAACGAAGGTGCAGTCACGGTTGGCGTTTTTTTTTTTTTTTGAGACGGAGTCTTGCTCTGCAATTTATCATCTATAAACATTATGTTTAACTCTTTCTGAATAACAATTCGGTAAAAACGTCCAAAGGACCGTCCCGTGAGTGATGGAAAGAGAGGCTTCTCTTTGATTCTCTGCCTTCCCCCACCCCCCGCCTTTCTATCTTTAATGGTCATTCCACAGTTTGACCCAGATTTTTAAGCAATTGCATTCCTGGAAATACCGAATCCAGGAAACCAGCCCATGCTTTCTGGTACAGTTGCTATTTCCTATCTCCTCTCAATACTGTAGGCTATATTCTCTGATTTTTTTTTTCTAACATCACTAGATAAATTACACAAGGGCAGAGACCTTGCGAGTCTTATACATCCCTTAAATAGATGAGATATTCCCGACATCTAGAACCCAGTCTGGCCCAGAGCAGATACATATAGTAATAAGTATTTGTTCAGTTAGTTGGTTAATACATTAGACTTTCCGATTTGTATTTGGGCTCCCCATTCCCCGGAAGCGGCACGAGTACAGCTCCAAGGGCATCCACCACTGTCTGTGAGTGTTAATGCTAGTTTGTTCCATTGATATTGGAGATAGGGGTTGGGAGTGAAGAAAGGCTTGTTTGCATTAGTATTTGGTTTGAGCAGCTGTTTTGACTTTTTCCTTTACTTTTTATCTCAGGGTTATAGCTAGATAATATGTCAATACGCTGTGGGTCAGATCACGCTCTCCTGTTTGCATGTTTGGAAAATAAAGACTGTTGAAATACTCACGTTAAACAGTACAAAGATCGCAAACAAGGAGAATACTTTTTGTTTTAATTTGGGGGCCCTTTTGAGTGCTTGTAACACTCACAGCCTAACCCCGGCACTGCTATTGTGACTTGTAAACCTGAATTTATTAGTGATGAGAGGAGCTGTTGCCACTTAATATAACAGAGAAGGGAGAGAGGTAGAATAGGGTTTCTCTCTGTGTGGTTTCCCGTGGGAATCTAGTCACGCTCATTTCATTAAAGCAAGGACATTTTCAGTGAAAGCAGGCACTGGGAAAGAAAAGAAAGTGTCACTGCTTCCGTCTTGGGCTTCCTCTCTGATCAGCCGTGTCTGTGTACTCACGTCGGAGCAGCCAGCAAGGCCTGTAGGGCCCCGGCTCCCTCTAGTCATCCCACGTGGCACTGACTGACTAGAACTGGGTCTGTAAGTTCTCCTTGGAGGTGGTACGGTCAAGGTCTCCATAAGGCTGCTTTGCAGACTCCACCTTCTCCTCAACCCAGGGAATTCCAGGATCTTGCCTCAGGGAAAAAGGCAGTAGCTTCACCAAACTCTTCAAGCCAGCTTTGCCACTAAAAACAAACAGAAAGCCCAAATTGACATTTTTATTCCAATGCTCCCCCCTCCACACCAAACACAAGAAATCATCAATCAGTAAATCAGTCAAGCGAAATTGGACCCCCAACGGAGCGGAAGAATGTCAGTGATGCTGAGAGAGGGAAACTGATGGGAACATCTTTCGAGTCCGTTCCTTCAAACGTGAGCCCTAAAAATAACAGCTCTGTGGGTGCTGTAGTCTTGGGATTTTAAAAGCAGGTTTCAAAGCTACAGAAGGAGTTCATTTTTGCCAAGATGAAACATGATGGATCTCCAAACAAGAGAAAAATTAAAATTTTTTTTTTCCTAGCGGCTTCAGATGACTAGCTTTATTTGTTTACATATTAAAAAGATAGCTCGTGTACTAGAAAGAGTATGAGCTTCAGTGTCAGAAAGACCCCGATATTGACGGTTCTATCTGATGCATACAAAAGGAATCGAAAAAATCAGACAAATTAACTCTGCTAATACCAGTGCAATAAAGCAAAAATCATCAATAGATGTTAAAACCTTTGGGTAAATGGAGAAAAAAATTATGATGAAAAAGGATATCTCTTCAAAGTAGAAATATGGCAGTTACCACCTTAACCAAGTGATCAAACTTTACTTCACAAAAACAAGACAAACAGACATCATTGCCCCCAGATACAATACAATGCAAGCACACACCATCATCTGTGTCATATTTTTGGTAAAAATATTTTAACGTGAATCTAATTATAAAGAAGCAATTAGATAAATTCAGATTATAGGGACATTTTGCAAAACACTGGCTTGGACTCTTCAAAATTGTTCAAGTCATAAAAGACAATAAAAAGGCTACAGGGACAATTGAGGAAGTTTAAGTATGGAGTTTATTTTAGATAATACTAGTGTATCAATGTTAAGTACGCTGGGAAGATGATTGACATTATATTTACATAAGAGAATGCTCCATTGGTGAAATTGGGTGATGTTAGTGGCTCTTTACATTTTTTTTCAAGTTTTTTGTAGGTTTAATTTTTTAAAAATTTTGTAATCTTAATATTTTTAGACATAATGCCTTGCCCTGTTACCCAAGCTGGAGTGCAGTGTTACAATCATACCTCATTATAACCTTGAAATCCTGGGCTCAAGGAATCCTCCTGCCTCATCCTCCTGAATAGCCGGGACAACAGGGGCATACCAAACCTGGTTAATTTTTTTAATTATTATTTTTTTTCTGTAGAGATGAGATCTTTCTCTGTTGCTCAGGCTAGTCTTGAACTCATGGCCTCAAGTGTTCCTCTAACCTCATTCCCCCAAAGTTTGGAAATGTGAAGATAAAAGTTGAGAGAAGGAAAAAAAAAAGATTTAGCTGCATTAACTGCATGAAATAAAAGGCTTTGCTCAGGCACACCACCATGCTGGCTCAATAACCCGGATGATATTGATGAATCTGGGATGTGCAGGGAACACAAGGCAAACGCTGCTCTGCCCCTGCGCAGCACCAAGCAGAACCTGTCTTCCTAGAATAGGAATGATGGGGCAGGTGTGTTAGGTTAGACCGTGAAGTTGCTCCACCCGTGCAGACACAATACGGGTATTTTAAAATAGACTTTTGTGTTTTTCCAAATAGTCCAGTTTCTTAACTGGATTTAAAATCTTTCCAATCTTTACCCGTAATGCACATTTCCGTTTGCTTTTTACTAGCTATTCAACTTCAACTTTGAGTAAACCCTCTCTTCTTGTAATGGCTTGGGGTTTAAAGAGAAAAAAAAAAGTTCAATTTTTATCATCCCTAACTGGGAATCGTCAAATTTAATGTCATCCAATCTGCAAGCTGTTTGAACCTAAATAGAGATTTGTACATCAGCTTGTACTTAGCTAACTCAGATTTTTATTTGCCTTCTGTATATCTGACCCGCAAATACGTTTTGAAATTATCTGGAAGGTATCAGAGTTTTCCCATGTTTTTTTTGAAGCGAAACACTTAACTGTGTCACCAGCAAGTGTCCTTTCACTCCCCAAGGCTTGCAGCTGCAAGGAAAACCTCTTATTGGCTGACTCGTCCACGCCAGGCAGCCTCCCACTGCCTACT